TTGTGGGTGTTGCCTGCATTCTAAGGGCTCCTGGGTGCACTCTCTCCACCCACCACCCCACCTCCCTCAGTTTCATCCCGGGGTACTTAACCACTGAACCACATTTCCAGCCCTTTTTTATTTTTTATTTTGAGACAGGGTCTCACTAAGTTGCTTATGGCCTTGCTAAGTTGCCCAGGCTGGCCTTGAACTTGCGATCCTCCTGCCTCAGCCTCCTGAGTTGCTGGGACGACAGGTGTGCGCCACCACACCAGGAACACTTCTCTTTTGAAGCTCAGTATAGTTTTCTTTTTCCGTATTCCCAAATTCCTCTCATAATCACTAGCCATGTGATACTGGGAAGGTTTTTGACCTCTTTGGGACTCAGTGCCCTCATATGACATCTGGGATCACCACAGCAACTGGGAGGAGCCACCCAGAAATGAGTGGATGTAGGTACTTGGCCTGGAGCCCGGGGCTGGCTCCTGGTTGACCCTAAGGGCGAGTCCCCTGGGTGATGGTGATCATGATAATGGTGGCAGGATGAAGATAATGGTAGTGATGCTGGCATTCGGGAGCACACTGAGCCCTGACACTTACAAGGCACACTTTTGTGACCTCGAGTGAGCGAGCAATTTAATCTCTCACCATCAGTTTGCTTAATTCTCTTTTCTCTGTTTGTTTGTACCAAGAGGAATAGTATCTGTCATCCAAACCTAGAGTTAGCAGACCTCAGCCCAGAGGCCACTTCTGACCCACTGCCTGCTTGTGTAAATAAAGTTTTATTGGCACACAGCCACGGCCATTGTTTACATACTGTTTGTGGCCCCTTTTGTGCTACAGTGGCAGAGTCAAGTAGCTACACTGGAGACCTCATGGTCTTATGACCTTATGGCTGTCACAGTCAAAAGTATTTACTTTCTGGCCTTTTATACAAAAAGTTTGGTGACCCCTGGTCTAAGAGAGAGGCTGTGAAAATCTAGGCAGATGCTCTGCGGAGAAGCTGGCTGCATGGGGTATTGGTGGGGCGGAGCTGCACCAGGCAGACCTTGAACTCTCCACTCTCCTCCACCCATAAGGAATGGACCTAGGTTACCGTGTGAGTCAGGAATAGCATAGGACTATACTTTGCATACGTGTTTCTATTGTGTTCTCTGCATTTCCATATGCACCGAATTTATGCATTCATGAGTCTGTGCCCTGTAGACTGTACTTTACAGGTGGCTCAAGGCTTTATTCCAAAGGGTAATTAACCACTGAGCTACATCCCCCACCCTTTCATATATATATATATATTTTACTTGGAGACAGGGTCTCACTGAGTTGCTTAGCGCCTTGCTTTTGCTGAGGCTGGCTTTGAACTCACGATCCTCCTGCCTCAGCCTCCTGAGCCACTGGCATTACAGGCGTGCACCACTGTGCCCAGCTCCAAAGGTAATTTTGACATTGATTTTCTTTTGCCTGATGATATCAGAAAGGAAGACGTGACTTCCCCTGTAACTGGTGGCTGTGAATATCATCTGCCTCTGGAGCAAAGTAAAACTGAAGTATCAGAACCTTCTACCCATTGAAAATAAATCCTAAGTGCAGATAAAGCTTCTCTGAAATCCTAAGTGGAAGAATAGTATTATATTTACAAAAATTCAACGCATTCGCTTCTTTGTGGCTTCTCCCCAGGCACACATCTGTTCCATAAAGAGAAGCACATGCGCATCATTTACATTCGGCCTTATTTGTTGCTTTGGAGCTGATGCAGGCAGGTCACCTTGCAAAACGCAGAGGAACACCCCTTTAATTTTGCAAACGGCATATATTGATATTAATGTCACCTTCTCCAGCTTCCCTCCCAGAGTTGTGGGAATCAATGAGATACAGGTAGAAGATGCTCAGAGATGCTAAGTGCAGCCGACAGGCGCAGTGGATCTGGTCACAGCACTCCTGTCCTTGGCAGGAAGCAGCCGTCTCCACATGGAGCTACCTGGAGCAGAGGGAGTCCAGGCGTGGGCTGGGCGGGCCAGCCTTGTGGGGAGGTTACGTAACAAATGCTCATAATTAGAGCGAATTATCTTCGTTGGAAAATGAGAGAATTATTTCCCAGTTTAATGAATAAAGACGCTTCTAATTAACTCCAGTAGAGAGATCTGCCTTCAAATTTCAGCAGTTAAGCGCTGTAGTCATTGTATTAATATTTTGTATTTATAGTTCACCTGTTGTTTTTCTTTTTTATTTTTTTACCGTGCTTATTGGTGTATGGAATTTTTGGAGATGAAGAGCAAACCCAGAGAAGATTCAGCCTCTCATTTAAAGCAAACAAAAAATCAGAGGCAGCTCTGGCCCAGAGAGATCCTATGACTCATCAGAGGTCCCTGGGCTGTCCCCCAGGAGTCAGTGTGACCAGCAAATAAAGGGGCTGCCGTGCGCACCCCTGGCCTGGCTCTGGGTCCCTCCTGCTCCTGGCCCTTTCTCTGGCTCTGCTGGGTCCCGCTGGCCTGTCACGTGTCTCTGTTCCCACTGAACCCCCTGTCTGTCAGCAACCTGGCCTCCCAGCCGCTCTGTCCCTTCCAGCACAGGCCCGTCTGCGGGCTCCTCCAGCATCACGTGGGCTGGCTGCCTGGTACTTCGTGGTCTCTGGCCGGCCTTGGGGCCCGATAGGAATCTGCAGATTGGCGGCCAGAGCAGTGTGCCCAAGGGCTTATGGGAGCGGCTCTGTCTGGCTCCTGCTCCCGAGCATCCGGTCAGGATCAAGTCAGCCCAGCCGGCTCTCGCAGCCCCTGAGCAGTGGGCTCTTTTAGTTGTTTTGTGCATGTGTTTAATAAACTTTGTTTTTTGTTATTGACTTGATCATTTGAGTGGTACTAGGGGTTGAGCCCAGGTGCTCCTCCCCTGAGCAACAGCCCCAGCACTTCCTTTTTATTTTTATTTCGAGACGGTATCTGGCTGGGTTCCTGAGGCTGGTCTGGCACTTGGCGGTCCTCCTGCCTCAGCCTCCTGAGTCGCTGGGATCCAGGCGTGCGCACTCCTGCTGGCTAATGAATTTTATCTTTTTGGAGCAACTTTAAGTTCACAGACAAGTTAAGCTCCCGTACACCCCCACCCCTGCCCGCCACAGCCTGCCCCACCATCAGCACCCCACATTATCCACTGCACATTATTCTGGGCCCAGAAGACAGTCATACACAGGTGTCCCTGGGTCACAAACAGGCACACAGTCAGTTTCAGGTCAGTCCTTCTGTCTCGAAATCCCGTCATTTATACTCTGCCCCGTGGCTGGTGGCTGGTGGCTACTCACAACATCAGAGCTCACCCATAATGGAAGGTGGCCCTGTCCTGGCCATCTCTGTCTCAACCAACTCCAAGTTCCTGGGCGGGGATTCTGATTGCCTGGGGCTGAATCAGGGTCTGTCCCTGGTACTGCATTCTGAGATTTGAGGCCTGGGATCATGTGCCCTGGTGGCTTCCCTGGGTCCTCACTCCCTGGGAGGAGGGGAAAGCAGCAGAGGGCAGTGTCTCTAGTCGGTGTTAGCTGAGCAGGCGCCTCGCCAGCTTTCTGCCTCTGTAACAAACACCCGGAGCAGTCAGCTGGAGAGAGGAAAGGTTCATTCTGGATCCAGTTGTGCATCCTTCTCCACGGCCTGGTGCCTGGTGCTGTGTCGCTGTCGGGCTTGGGTCGAGGCAGCACCATAGGACGGGAGCATGTGCTGGGGGAAGCCAATCACGCCAGGGTGAGCAGGAAATGGGACGCGCAGGAGAGCAAGAGCGGGGTCCCAGCACCCGCTTCCAGGGCTTGTCTGCAGGTGACTTTCCTTCCTTCCTCCAGGCCCACCCCCGAAAGGTCCCCCACCTTCCAGCAGCACCATGGGCTGGGGACCAGGATTCAACGGGGGCCTTTGGGGGACATTCCACTTGGGAACTCTAGCGACAGATAACTCTGCTTTCTACTGTGATGGGTGACGATCCTTGTCCTACGTCCCCCGACTCCTTTTCTCTAATGGCCTCAGAGTTTGTTGCCAGAAGTTCCTCCTGGGGCCTCTGCTCGCCCCTAGTCCCGCTTTCTTGGAAAGATCACCCTCCCAGGGGCTTGACCACCAGTCGCGACCCCGCCCCTCCCCCCACAGGGGCCTAGACCCCCGTGAGTGGCCCTGTCTAGAGGCAAGCATCTCCTGTGCGCCTCATCCCAACCTCGTGCCTCTCAGCGTGCTGTCCCAAAGCCTTTGTGCTCCTGCCTTTTGAGTGCCCCTGTCTAATGGGCCCTGTGGTTGTGACAGTTTCACAAACAGCCACCTGGGAGCAGAGCTGGGCAGTTGTGGAGCTGCACTGGGAACGCACAGTGGCTCCTGTTTTATATTTGAAAACCAAGATAATTCATTCATCTTCCATCAAGGGAGCCTTGTGCAGTGGACCCTTCCAGAAAAGGTGTGGAGACGGCACCTGGAGAGGCGTATTTACATGATGATGCCTCTGAGTTGAATTTATGCATGCTTTCAAATGTTAGTCTTCAAGTTTTCCGAGAAAAGCAACAATTCTCTCCGAAATTGCCCATTATGTGAAATGCAGGTGATTACTGCTGATTCACAAGGGCAGCGTCACCCAAGTGGTGAGATTGGGGCTTTGGCGCGGCCCATTGCTATGCACCGTCCAGGTTTATGTGTGTGCGCACAGCGGAAGGCATTTTAGGGGAAGGCATTTTATATAATTCCAAACAATTTAATAGAAATGTAATTCGACTGGGAAAACCACAGTCCGTCGGCCCTTTCAGAGAGCAGATAATGTTCCAGATTAAAGGGCTGGAGCTTTGTTCATTATAGTCAAATAACGTGAGCGTGTGAATCACCGTTTTTCTTGCCGTTGGTGTATTTCAGAAGTGTGCCATTTTCCCATTATAATAATAGGCTACATTTTCTTAAAATCATTTGATTATGATCGGTCCTGTCTATTCAGTTTGCAAATAAAAAGCTTTTGCGGTGATAAACTAGCTGTTCCCAGCAGCCTCAACCTCTGCTTCTGCCTTTGAACCGCCACAGGTCAGACCCTGCGAAAGGCTCAGAGAAGTCGGTCCTGCTCTCGGGAGAAAAAGGAGGTAAACGTGCCACTCGTGAGGGCCAGGGGGAGGCCGCTGTGTCTGAAAGGAGCTGGGGAGCTGGGTGGTAAATAAGTATGCTGGGTCTTCTCTTCTTTTCTTACTGAGTTCTCAACTTGGATCCTAGACCAAATTAGAGTTGGCAGCTAGACTTGTCAACCCAGTGTCACTTAGAACAATAATGTCTTCCAGAGCATATCAGTTAGCTGCGTGTAATAAATCACTCCGATTTCAGTGGATTAAAATGTGCATTGGGTTCCTGGTTCTGTGAATCGGCAATTTGGGCCTCCCGGTGGTTGTGCTGAGGGGCTGGCTCTGCTGATTCTGGGGACCCCCCTGCGTCTGCACTCACTGCTGTTTCCCCGGGGGGCACCCTGGGGTCCAGCGGGGTGTCATTTCTCCCCACAGGTTCTCATCTCCCAGCAGGCTGGCCAGGGTTGCCCATGTGGGGCATCTGGGTTTGAGAGTAGGAGAGTGGCAGCTGCAAGACCTCTTGAGTCACAGGTCCACAACTGGCACTTTGTCACTCGTGCCACTTTTTAAAACGAAAGGATATTTGCAAAGCTCACTGGGTCCAGGAGCTTCAAAGCAAGTCACAAGGTCAGCCCAGACTCCAGGGGTGGGGCAGAGTAAGAACAGGGGAGCAGGGGGGGGGGGGGGGGGGGATGCCAGGCCTCACTTCCTGAGGGAAGGAGCCACAGAACGTTGTGGCTGGCCTCGGGGACGGGGACTCAGTCACTGTGTGCACTGTGTGGTCAGAAGAGATGGGAGCAGCATCGTCACAGTGGGCAGAGGAAGCAGGAGGGTCGTGCAGGCCCTGGGCCCCCCAACTGCCAGCACCGTCCACGAAGGTCACTGCAGGCTGCCTCTCAGGGAGGACTGTTCTCCAGGCCCAGGGAGCAACACGGTCAAAGCCAGAGCGACGCCAATAAGGAAAGTTGCAAGTTCTCCGAGCCTGAGCTGGGTGGGAAGCCATGGCAAGGACACAGGTCACCACAGGCCCTCGGAGCAAGTCCCAAGCTCATGGGAGTTTAAATTAGTCCTCATTTAGTGGCACGTGGGTGCAGGGGTGCCAGGGAATGAAGTGTGTGACATCATGATGGATACCCGCTGATCCTGAAGTCATCGACACTCACCCTGACACTTCTGATGGCACAGTGATGTCATTCCAGTGACAAAGGGCTTTTGTCAGGTCAGCTGGGTCCCAGGGCTCAAAAATGGCCCAAAAGTTGGCTCTTTCTCTTTCTGTTGCTTTCCTCTTGCTCTCGGCCAGCTCTGAGGAGGTGTGCTGGGCTTGGGCTGCAGAGGCCCCGGGGCCCTGCTGGGCCTGTCCCCTCTGCAACGTGGGCCGCTCCTCTGCCTCAGTCCACCCACCTGGTTAGGGCCGGGAGCAGCGCAGGCGTCTTGCTGCCGCTGAGCTCTAACTGTGGCCTGGGTGGGCCTCTACTGTGGCCTGGGTGGGCCTCTACTGTGGCCTGGGTGGGCCTCTGCTGTGGCCTGGGTGGGCATCTGCTGTGGCCTGGGTGGGCATCTAACCTGGGCGAGCCTGGGTCCCCTGCTCTGATAGCCTGCAGCCCCCTCCGCAAGTGCCAGCGGTGGAGACCAGCGTTCAAGGGGACTCGTTGCCACCTCCCCCGGGCCTTGGGTCACGGAGCAGTGGCGCCCCCCACTCCCCCACCTTGGGCACTCAGCTGGGAAAGCTCGCCGCAGGGCGGGGCCACCGCTGCTCTCCCCTCCTTGGTGACCAGGCTCCTCCCCTTGCTGGGGAGCATGTAGGAGCCTGTAGCTCCTACCTCTTCTAGAAAGTGCTGGAAGGAAAACAAAGAGCCAGGCTGTTAATCTCCACCCCAGGCTCAACCCGGAGACTTAAGAGATTTAAGATGGTTTCTGGCTTCTGAGAAAAGAGGGGGCCGCCTTTCTGCACGGGGTTTTGTTTGGTTAGAGAAACAAAAGAAAGAGGCGCAGAGGGACGGCCTGCAGCCTCCCCGCCAAGTCCTGGGCCGTGAAGCAGGGACTCCCCCCCAGTCTGTGGCTTCTGCAGGATGCCAGGTCCACATCAGGCCCCGTCCCCAGGAAAGGCAGGGAGGAGATGAGCATCTCTTTCCCAGAGCAGCTTGGAACAGCTGCTGGGCCCGCGTTGAGCTCGCGTGGCGGGCTCGCTCCCTGGCTGGGGTGCCCGGGGTCCCCCCCAGGTAGGGACTGGGGACACCTCCCAGTGGTCCTGGGCCTGCCTGGTGAGGGGAAGAGGGAGGCTGGCCCACACCCTGTGACAGCTTTGGGGGAAGCAGGCGTGCCCCGGTTTGGACGAGGCTGGGCTCACCTCCGCACGCCATCTCCTGGCTTCTTTGGAAAAATAAGGAACCACTGAGTCCTTACTCCTACCAAGTATCCATGGGCAGTGGCCATGATCAGTGTGGCTGCCCCTTCAGATGGGGTCCCCAGTTTGCCATCCCTGCCCCCCACCTGCTTGATATCAAGCAGGTCCACAGTGACCATGTCCCCACAGGGCCCGGCACTTTTTGTCAGAGGTTCCCAACTGCCACCTATTGGAACCACCTGGAAATTTTAAACGCCCTGATGTCAAGGTCCGTTCCCAAGCCACTAAACTAGAACCTCTGGGGGCGAGGCCTCGATGTCAGCATTTCTTAACCCCCCCCCAGGTGCCACGTGGTGGTGTGGGTGTGAACCAGGGCTTCCTTGCATGAGGTGGCCCCTGGCTCTGGACCAGGAGCTCTGTACGCCACTGGCTCAGAGCCCCTGTGCTCCCCGTGTCACAGACACCAGAAGACGCATGTCAGGAAGCCAAGAGTCAGCCGCATACGGGAGCCTGGCAGCGCCCGTCCAGGAGGACTTCCTGGGAGAGGCGGCTTGAGCTGCGGCCTGGGAAGGGTCACAGTCATTTCTGGAAATCAGAGCACAGTTAGTTTGCGCAAAGTCAGTAAATTCTTTCAGTTCAGCGGGTAAAAATATTCTCTGGCTCGTCTCTAACAAGTAGTCATGGTTCCTGCCTGCAGAGATTATGGAGTGTTTATGGCCCTTGGTCATGAATTATTAATGCTTTTGAAATTGTGGTCATTGTAGTTTACTCAAAAATCATTAGGAAGCCAATTTATCATACAGTGCTTAAAAAAAAGAAAAAAAGAAGAATGAAAATCACTGAGGAGGTTGAAATCTTTATTCAGTCCCAATTCCCCAGGGTCCACGCTGGTGCCCAGGGCACTGTGCAGCTCACAGGCCTGGGGCTGGGGTCATGTCCTCCTGTGCAGAGCCATGGAGGCCCCTGCCACTCTGTTGGTTAGTACCCAGGATGTGCCTGGAGGGCTGTGGTGCAGGTCCCGAGTCCCCGAGTTAAGGAGATCAGCCGCAGATCCCATGGTGTGACCTCGTCGTGTCCCTGGACCCCTGTGACCGTCTCTAATGCCCTCTGGTGAGCTGGCGTAGAAGCTGAGGGCAGCCATGCATTCAGGCACCTAGCGCAGCACTCGCCCGTCCTGGGCGTCCAAAGAGAGAGTGGCAGCGAGAGGGGCACGTTGCTCCTCCCCCTGCAGGGGCCTGCTGGCTCCCTCCAGACCACAGGCGGACCTCTCCAGCCTTTCCTGTGTGTGTCCCCCGGCAGCCTAGCCCCCGATGCCCATTCCTAACCCTCACAGCCACTTGTGATCATGGACTGCCATCTTTTGCAGTTGATTGAAGATCCCCAAAACTGCTGTTGACAGTGCTCACATCTGCCGAGCTTGCTTTGTAAAGAACTGCAGAAGTCGTTTAACTCTCCCACCTAGAAAACGCCACACCTCCCCTCTGCATGGGCGTGCACACACATGCCACTTCCTGTTATTAGCAGAGACTTTGGTGCAAGACTAGAGGCTCCCTTCACTTTTCCCAAGCAGAGGAGGAGACAGAGGTCTCAGGGGAACACAGGAAAGGAGACAGTGTTTGCAGGCACAAGGTTTTCTGGACACCACCTCTGTCTCTTCAGTGCACCACCACAAGCACCGTCTCAGCATCTTGCTGCTGTCTTGACGCTTTTCTCTACTGGTGGCTCTTCATCTAGGAGTTCAGTTCACAGGCCAGAGGGAGAGCCTGGTCCCCTGGCTAATCAGCACGTGAGAATATTCATCAAGGCAGGTGGGACTGAAGGTATGGGGTAGCTCAGTGATGGAGAGCTCGCCTCGTCCGCATGAGACCCCTCCCCAGCCCCACAAAAGGAAAACAAAGGAGAAGGAGGAGGAGGGGTGTTTGAGGATCCAGTGCTTCTAGCACCAGCCCTCAGTTCCCACTGTAGTCAGCTCCTTCTGTGCCCTTCCCTGAATACTCCACAGTCTCCAACTACGCAGAGTATGTGTTCTGTCTCCTGTGCCACCTAGCCACGCCCTCCTTGTCCAACATGGCAATGACACCCATTATTTTGTTCCTGGATTATTATTAGTAGTAGTATTAGTAGTTTTACACCTTATTGTGTCTTGGAGAACATTCCTAGCAGGTTGCATGGGCAGACCTCATTCTTTTTATGGCTTTATCTCATTACAGATATACCAGAACCCAGTCCTTCATTAATACCAGTTGTGTGCGGTAATGCATGCCTCTAATTCAGCTGCTCAGGAGACTGGGGCAGGAGGATCCCAAGTTAGAGGCCAGCTTAATGGAGATGTAGTTTTGTGGTAGAATATCCCTGGGTTCAATTCCCAATTACCACCCTCCCCCAAAAAAAAAGAAAAGAAGAAAGAAAGAAAAGAGACCATCCTAGTAGGGCCTAGAGAAGTGTCCTGTTATCAAATACATTAATATATGTGCAGCAAAATATGAATATTCATCCAGAGTGAGACGTATAAAGGTCATACATTTCATGTCCACTTGGATGGGATTTTGCTGCTAAATGATTGCATAATGCACTAGAGGGTCCTGGTTAATGAATGTCTAGGCTATTAATAGTCTTTTGCTACCCTAAGAATCAAGAGTGTCCTAAAGCACATCTTTGTGCACATGTGCAGAAATAGCCAAAG